CCATGAGCTCAGGCAGTTCTCTCTCCTCTGCCTCCCAAAGTGCTGGGATTACAGGAGTGAGCCACCGCTCCCATTTATACTTTTTTTTTTTTTTTTTTTTGAGTTAGAGTCTCACTCTATTGCCTAGGCTGGAGGGCAGTGGCATACTCACAGCCGTCGCAGCCTCAACTTGCTGGACTCAGGAATCCTTCCACCTCAGCCTTCCAAGTAGCTGAAACTACAGGCATGCACCACTGCGCCCGGCTAATTTTTTGATTTATTGTAGAGATGACGTCTCACCAAGTTGTCCAGGCTGGTCTCGAACCCATGGGCTCAGGCAGTCCTCTCACTTTGGCCTCCCAAAGTGCTGGGATTATAGGTGTGAGCCACAGCGCCCGGCCTACACTTTTTTTTTTAACTGTCACAGATTTTTCAGGCCAACCATTGTTTCCTGACTTATGTAATTTAATTAAACAGTGTTTTTCAAGCTTGAAATCAACTCAAGCTAGAGAAAGGAAGAGAGAAAGGAAGGAAGGAAGGAAGAGAGGGAGGGAGGGGTGGGGAAGGAAGGGAAGAAAGAAAGAAAGAAAGAAAGAGAAGGAAGGAAGGCAGGCAGGCAGGCAAGCCTGGATATTTAAGGCCGAATCACCGACTTCACTTTATAACTTTATAGCAAGGTCTTCCATTAAAAAAAGAAGATAAGCTGGCTTGTTTCCTCAGTGCTGGAAAAGGTTTTTTATTTTTATTTTTTTAAGTCAGCATCTCATTCTGTCATCCAGGCTGGAGGGCAGTGGCATGATCACGGCTTACTGTGGCCTCCACCTCCTGGGCTCAGGTGATTCTCTGACCTCAGCCTCCTGAGTAGCTAGTACTATAGGTGCACACTACCATGCCTGGGTAATTTTAAAAATTTTTTTTGTAGAGGCGAGGGCTTACTCTGTTGCCCGGGCTGGTCTCGAACTCCTGAGCTCAAGGGATCATTCAGCCTCAGCCTCCCTAAGTGCTGAGATTACAAGCATGAGCCATTGTGCCCAACTTGCAACTCATATCTTGATTTTTTTTTTTAAATTGGAGTCTCACTCTGCTGCCCAGGCTGGAGTACAGTGGCATGCTCACAGCCACCTCACCTCAGCCTTGACCTGCTGGGCTCAGGTGATCCTTCTGCCTCAGTCTTCCAAGTAGCTAGAACTACAGGCACACACTACCACGCCCGGCTGATTTTTTGTTGTTGTTGTTGTAGAGATGAGGTCTTGCCAAGTTGCCCAGGAGGGTCTTGAACTCACGGGCACAGGCAATCCACTCACCTCAGACTCCCAAGGCGTGGGATTACAGGCTGAGCCTCCGAGCCTGGCTTTTTTTTTTTTTTTTTTTAAAGAAAAGAGAAGGCTCTTGTGTTTTATTTCCATACTGTTGAATCAGTGTTTGGATGGACGTGTGGGCACTAATGCATAACTCCAGTGGCACTCTGTTCACGGCCACTGGAGTCGCAACCTGCTGGGCTGAGGTGATCCTTCTGCCACAGCTTTTCAAGTAGCTGGAACCACAGGCATGCACCACCATGCCTGACTAATTTTTTGATTTATTGTAGAGCCAAGGTCTTGCCAAGTTGCCCAGGCTGGTCTCTAACCCATGGACTCAGGCAATCTGCCTCCCAAAGTGCTGGGATTACAGGCATGAACCACCGCGCCCGGCTAACTTCAGTCACTTTTATATACTCCCCATTTGATGCAATATACCTATCGAGACACTTTTTCCACTGCTCAAAACAGTTTTTCAACTCATCGGTTGTGATGCCTTTTAGTGCTTCTGCAGTTCTTTGTTTCATCTCTTCCATATCAGCAAAACATTTCCCTTTGAAACTTTTTTCATTGGGGAAACAAAAAAATAATAATAATGTTGCTCAGAGTGAGATCAGGTGAATAGGGAGAGTGGGGCACAGAGTTCATGCCATTTTCGGTCCAAAACTGCTGAACACTCAGTGGGGTGTGGGCAGGTGTGTTGTCATGGTGGAAGAACCAGTCACCTGTTTGCCACAGCTCTGGATGTTTCTTTCCCAAATCATGACACAACCGTCTCAAAATATTCAGAAGAGAACTGTGGTTGACACTTTGATCTGGAGGAACAAATTCTGAGTGTATGACAGGAGTCTGATCTCCAAAAGATAATTCCATTTTTGGGGGGCTGTCTCCCCACTTCCCCTCATCATTTTCCAACTTCCTCCACCAAGAATCCAGACGACCTTGGAAAAACTCAGGTTGAATTCAGGCACCTCTCTCCCATGGCCTGTTCTTAGGAGAGAGGCCTGACTGCTCACCCCTACCCGGTGGGCTCTGTGCAATTGAATGAGTTTCCTGTGGCTGCTGAAATGAGATAGCAAAAGCATTAGTGGCTTAAAACATCGCGTATTTATCCCCTGCAACTCTGGAGGCCAGAAGTCAGAAGTCTGTCTCACTGGGTTGCAGTCACGGTGTGGGCAGACTTCCTTTCCCTTGGAGGCTGTGGGGAGAGTCCACGTCCTCGCCTCTCCTGGCTTCTAAAGGCTGCCAGTATTCTTTGGCTCCAGGCTCCATCCTCCATCTCCAACGTCAGCCTCATGGTACCTTCCGGTCTGCTCTCTGACTCTGACACTTTCTCGCCGCTTTCAAAACCTGTAAGGACCCTTGTGATGACATCTGGGGCCTCCTAGGTAATCCAGGATAATCTCCCCCTCTCAAAACCCTTAATCACACGCACAGAGAATCCCTTTTGCCATGAAAAGTCACATTCTCAGGTTCTAGGGATTCAAGACATGGACATCTTTGGAGGCCATCATTGTGCCTGTCTCTGTGGTTCAGCCCTTGCCAGCCCCTCCAGCCCTATGTTATGCACCACTCCCTGTTCCTTCCCACTTCAGGGCCTTTGCACATGTTCCTGACCCTCTTGGAGCACTTTTCCCTTGCACTTCACCTAGTCAGTGCTAGTTCATCTTTCAGATCTTGGCTCATGTGCAATTAGGCTTTCCCTAATGACTCCAACTAGACCAGGCCCCTGTCACCCTGTCTCATGGCTCCTGGACTCCTCCTTCAGAGAATGGTCAGATGGTACGGAGGGGCTTGAGTGCTCACATCCTGAAGCCGGACTGCCCAGGTACATACTCCATACCTGTCTAACCATGAGACCCGGGGCCAGGGGTTCCACTTCGACCCTCAGTGTCTTCTGCACAGGGGATAGTGACAGCTCCTTCTTCATCGGGCTGTGGCCAGGATTAAGGAATTAGGATCCCTGTAGTTAGTTAGAGCAGGCCTCCTGTGTGATGCTCCTTCAGTGCCTGGTGGCCAATAATACCATCCCCATTTGCTATCATGAGGATCGTGGTGGGCTAAGACTTGACGCTCCTAGGATATCCTCATCCCTGAAACCTGAGAAGGTTACCTTATTGGAGACAGGGTCTTTGCAGTTGTGATTAAGTCAAGGATCTTGAGATGGGGGGATTACCCTGGATTAGCTAGGTGGGCCCTAAATGCCATCTCAAGAGGGAGGGGCGGAGATTTGACACACACAGAGAGAAGGCCATGTGAAGGCAGAGTCGGAGAAGCTGGCCTTGAAGATGAAATGATACAGCCACAAGCCAAGGGGTGCCTGCAGATCACTGGAAGCTGGTGGAGGAGAAACGTTCTCTCCTCTGGGTCCTGCAGAGGGGCTGCCTTGCCAACTCCTTGATCTCAGCCCAGCGAAATTGACTTTGCACTTGTGACCTCCAGATCTTGAGACCATAAGCCACTGAGGTTACTGTGATTTGTTCAGACAGACATGGGAAACTCAGGAAGGTGCTGCACCCTGCTTGAGAAGGGAGCTTCTCTTCCTCCCTTACGATGGTGTCCTCGGGATCCAGGCACCCGACTGGGGGTCAGTAGAGACTATCACCATGGGGAAATGGATGTGTGGGCTTTGCTGGCCCACCTTCTCGCCTGTTCAGCAGAGAGGCTTTTGATGCTAGTGTTTTCCAGGTTAGGTCGTGACCGCATGGGAGTCATGAAATGCACATAGGGGGGTGGCATTAAAAAAAGAAGAGCCAGATGTGGTGGCTTATGCCTATAATAGCTGAGGCAGGAGGATCGCTTGAGCCCAGGAGTTCGAGACCAGCCTAGGCAACATAACAAGGCCTCATCTCTACAAAAAAATAAAAAAGCCAGGTGTGGTGGAGTGCCTGTAGCCCCAGCTACTCTGGAGGCTGAGGCAGGAGGATTGCCTGAGCCCAGGAGGTCGAGCTATGACCATGCTACTGCACTACAGCCTGGGTGACAGAGTAACACCCTGACAAAAAAATTTAAAAAAGAAGAATAGGGAATATCAAGGTCTGGTGTATGTAATCAGGGTAGGTAGTAACCTTGCACTGCAGGGGTGTTTGTATTTATCTACAGGTATATGTTACATATTTATAACACTCTTGGACTGGGCCTGGTGACGTATGCCTATAATCCTAGCACTTTGGAAGGTGGAGGTGAGAGGATTGCCTGAGCCCAGGGATTCGAGACCAGCCTGGGCAACTTGGCCAAGATCTCATCTCTATAATAAATCAAAAAAATTGCCAGCTGTGGTGGCATATGCCTGTGGTTCCAGCTACTTGGAAGTGAGAAGGCTGAGGCGGAAGGAACGCCTGAGCTCAGCAGGTTGAGGCTGTGGTGGCCATGAGCATGCCACTGCACTCCCAAAACAACAACAACAAAAAAACCCACAAAACTATATAAAACACACGTGGGGATGTCCTAAAACACTCACTTCACTGTGGGTCATAGCTGATACAAATTTGAGAAACACTGAGGCTTGAAGAGCAGGGATGATTGTGTCAAGTGTCCCAGGACTGCTTGGATGAGAGAATGAGGGACGGTGACCTGCCCCCCATGAGAGTTCTAACCCAGCTCTATCCCTGAAGCCGGAGGACAAGGCCCTACCCCTGTCCCAGCAGTGAAAGGGTTGGTACCAAGGCCCCCACCTTCTGCCTGTTTCACCTTGACCTTGTCCCCCCTCCTCCTGCTGGGCAGATCCGGGTGAAGCCAGACAGAACGGGCGTGGTCACGGATGGCGTGAAGCACTCCATGAACCCCTTCTGCGAGATCGCCGTGGAGGAGGCTGTGCGGCTCAAGGAGAAGAAGCTGGTGAAGGAGGTCATCGCCGTCAGCTGTGGGCCTGCGCAGTGCCAGGTGCTCAGGTCCTGGGCGGGACCGGGCTCTGAGTTTGAGGGAGAAGGCTGGGGCATGGGCTTCTGGGTCTGGGAGACGAGGGCCTGGACTCCCAGGTCTGAGGGAAGAGGTTGGAGGCCTGGACTCCCCAGTCTTGGGGAGGTGGGGGCTGGGTCTTGGACTCCTGGGTCTGAGGGAGGAGGGTGGGGCCCAGGCTTCTGGGTCTCCCTGGGGTTAGAAACCAAGTCAAGCCCCTCTGTCCCACAGGAGACCATCCGTACCGCCCTGGCCATGGGCGCAGACCGAGGCATCCACGTGGAGGTGCCGGCTGCAGAGGCCGAGCGCTTGGGTCCCCTGCAGGTGGCCCGGGTCCTGGCCAAGCTGGCAGAGAAGGAGAAGGTGGACTTGTTGCTTCTGGGCAAGCAGGTGGGTGTGCTTGGCCCCTCCCTCCACCCACACCTCATCCCTGGGAGTGGCTGGGAGTTGAGACCGCAGGTGGTAGGGCCCAGGGCATTCAGGCAGTCCAGGCTGAGCCACTTGGAACTTGGTCATCCTTCCTGGGAAAGTTTGAGCAGGGGGAGGGCAGGGCCACTCTGGGTGTCAGAAAGATTCCCTTGAGCTCCCCTTGGGGGAGTTGGGAGCCCCGGAAGCTGCAGTGATCAAGTGGTCAAGTGGAAGAGAGCAAGGCCACAGCCAAGGCCCAGGGGACAGAGACTCGATGTGGCAGGAGGGACAGGCCTTAGCCATGGGGAGTGAGGGGAGGGAGGAGGTAAGGGCAGTGCCTGGATCTGGCTTGGTAACAGGTGGGAAACCTGGGTGTGACACAGTGGACAGGTCTATGCACACCTACGCCTAAAGTCCAAGGACTTTGAGAGGCCAAAGAAGGAGGCTGACAAGTTCAAGTTCTTAGAAAGATTTTGTTTTTTTATTTGTAATTTCATTCTGTCGCCCAGGCTGGAGTGTAGTGGCTGTTCCTGGCCACCGCAACCTCGACCTGCTGGGTTTAGGCGATCCTTTCGCCTCAGCCTTCCAAGTGCTGGAATTGCAGGCACATGCCACCATGCCTAGCTAATTTTTTTATTTATTGTAGAGGTGAGTTCTCACCAAGTCGCCTAGGCTGGCCTCTAACTTGTGGACTCAGGCAATCCTCTCACCTTGGCCTCCCAAAGTGCTGGGATTATAGGCATGAGCCACCGTGCCTGACCAGAAAGAAGCATTTAATGGGACCTTAGCAGCAGAGCCATGTCTATCTTGGGTGGCGGTTAGAGAAGATGGCGGATCCCAACATCGTGACCTCGTGGACCAGGGCTTTTAACCATAGGAACGGACTGCTGTGGAAAGGGTGTGTCAGACAGTTGAAGTACCCGAGCATCAAGGTGGCTCGACCTAAGGGCAGGATATAGGGTGAGAGCCTGCTCTTACACAAGGAACAACAGGTACATGGGAAATATTAGAGGCCTTCCCAGAACTGGGGTTCATCAGAAGCCATCATGGTGGATTAGCATTCAAGATGGAGTTGCTCCGGCCTCCACCCTGAGAAGAACTGGATTAGAGGAAGAGCCATGAAGACGTGGGCCATGTGAAGAACCTAGAGGACATCGAGGCGGGTTCAGGGGACAGGCCTAGGCTTGAAACAGATATTGGAGGCTTTTGGAGGGCACTGGGGAGCCATGGGAGGGCTGTGAGCAGGAGAGTGACAGGATTGGCTCTGGGTGTCAATGGTTCTCCCTCTGGGGCCATGAGGAATGGAGTGGAAGGAAGAGACAGAAGGTCAGGGGTTGGGGAAGGAGGCTGGAGCTGAGTCTAGGATCCACCCGGAACGCTCCTCACCATCTCGTTCCTTCAGGAGACCGGGAACACCACCCTCCTCAGAGGAGCTCATCCCACTTGAGGACAACCTCATGGCCTCATCAGGGAGGGGCAGGGGAGGGACGTTAGGGAACCCACAGGTTCATGCTGCAGGAGTGAAAAGAGGCAGGAAATTAGGGACAGAAACCAAAAGAAGGTCAACGCTACTGGGCATGGTGACTCACGCCTGCCATCCCAGCACTTGGGGAGGCAGAGACGAGAGAATTGCCTGATTCCAGGGATTCAAGACCAGCCTGGGCAACTTGGCTAGACCTCATCTCTACAATAAATCAAAATATTAGCCAGGGGTGGTAGCGCATGCCTGTAGTTTCAGCTACTTGGAAGGCTGAGGCAGAAGTTTCACCTGAGCCCAGCAGGTCGAGGCTGCAGTGGCCATAAGCGTGCCATACTGCACTACAGCCTGGGCGACAGAGTGAGACTGACTCAAAAAAAAAAAAAGGAAGATCAAGACTGTGAGGCAAATGGAGTGCAGAGACCCCAGGAGGCTGAGAAAGAGAGAGCAACGTCCCAGCAGGAGAGACGGGGATTCTAGGAGACCAGCTCAGTTCTAAGAAGAAGAGGAGGCAGATGGGTCCAGGTAGGTCACTGGGTGTCCTGCCCAGCCTGGAGACACCAGGGAAAGAGTACCAACAGCAGGGAGTCACAGTACAAACTGGTAAACAGAGGCAGAAGTGCCTAACCAGAGAACAGGCCAAAAAGGCAGGGCCTGGATGGGGCTGTGGGGGCCCGGGTCTCATACCAGCTCCCTTGACCCAGGTGTTGGCAGCATGGCCTGCTGAAACCTCTGCATTTGCTGATGGGTCTTAGATTCTGATGTTCTACTGTCCTGGGTTAGGGACAGTTCCTGGGGCCAGGGCCTCCAGCTGGGGAAATGCCACATGAACTGGTCAGGATGTTCTTTGATCTAGGCAGCAAAATCACAACTCAAACTGGCTTAAGGCAAAAAGCAAATTTATTAGCTCACATAAATCAGGTGCTTCAAGCATGGCTTGATCCAGGGTCACACTTGAGCTCCAGGCTCTGCTCTGCCTCGACTTCACTCTACATCTCCAGGCTCAGATCCCTGCAGCCTCGTGACTCCAGCAGAAAGGAAAAAAAAACAAAAAACCCTGTTTCCCAAGGGCTCTGGCAAAGCTTCCAGGGCCGCCTCTTCATTGGTCCAGCTGGAGTGGAAGGAAGAGACTGGAGACTGGGGGTTTGGGAAGGAGACTGGGACTGAGGCTAGGACTCACCCAGAACTCTCCTCACGGCAAAGGTGCTGCCCAATGAGGCAGGAATGCGTGCTTTGTCTGTCCCACCAGGAGACCTGGGGACACCACCCTCCTCGGGGGAGCTCATCCCAATTGAGGACAACCTCATGGTCTCACCAGGGAGAGGCAGAGAAGTCACAGGCCTGTCCCTGAACCAGTCACTGGAGTCAGAATGTTTTTGTTGGCCCAGATCCTGTTCATCCAGCCCCCCACAGGGCTGGCACAGGGTCTGGCTCACGAGAAGGTTTACACAGGGGCAAAGATTTGGTGACAGAGATGTGCTGGGTGACCCCATGAGCTCCTGGATAAGTGAAGGGACCGAAGTGAGAGGATTAGACTAGACTATGGCCCACAGCCACCACTGATTTTGTAAATAAAGTTTTATTGGAACTCCACCACATGTGCTTGTTTACATATTGTTTATGGCTGCCTATATGTGACAACAGCAGAACTGAGCAGTTGGGACAGAGACTATAAGACCCGCAGAGCCTAAAATATTTACTATCTTGTTTATTAGAGAAAAGATGTGCTGACCCTGTTCTAGACAGAGGCCCGAATAGGCTCTGAGAAGTTCCATCGATTGTCATAAGGTCGGCTCTCTCTCCCCTCAGGCCATCGATGATGACTGTAACCAAACGGGACAGATGGTGGCTGGATTTCTGGACTGGCCACAGGTGAGGCTGGAGTAGATAGCACCCCTGAGGGCCAGGACCTCATCTCTCAAGCTTCAGATCGCCTCATGGCTTTCTCTTTTTTTAAAAAATATTTATTTTAAAGATGGGGGGTACAGTTCAGGGTTAAGTATACAAGTGGTCATTGTACAGGTAAAGTTTGAACCTTACTTTGGTTCCCACTTTGCCTGGTTTGAGATCAGGTACCCTTATTGATGAAGTGTACCCCCTACCTCCCCAGCAATTTCCCACTACTGCCAGTTCCTTTCTTGTAGTATTATGGTAATTGTTCAGGGTGTATGAGTGAGAACATGTGATACTCAGTTCTTTGTTTCTGTGATAGATCACTCAGTATTATAGACTCTGTATCCATCCAAGTTGCTGCAAAGTTCATAATTTTGTCCTTTATGGCTGCATAATATTCCATTGTGTATAAGTAGCACTTATTTTTGTCCAGTCTACTTTTGATGGACAGCACCGTTGGTTCTATGTTTTTGCTATTGTGAATAGTGCTGCAATAAACATGGTGCATATGCAGGTATCTTTTTCATAGAGTAATTTGAATTTCTCTGAGTATATTCCCTGAAGGGAGATTGCTGGATCGTTTGGAAGGTTGATTTTTAGATCTTTTAGGAATCCCCACATTGTTTTCCACAGAAGTTGTATTAATTTACACTTCCACCAACAGTGTAGAAGCATTCCCTTTCCCCCACATCCTCTCTAGCATCTGTTGTTTTTCAAGTTATTGATGGTGGCCATCCTGACTGGAGTTAGGTGGTACCTCAGTGTGGTTTTAATTTGCATTTCTTTGATGATGTGTGAGGTTGAGCATTCCCTCAGATGGCCTCATGGCTTTCTCGCTCCTCTCCTTCAAGTCTCTGCTCAGATACCACCTCTTCAAAGGGGGCTTCCTTGCCCAGGAAATGTTGGTTCAGGACCGAGAGGCAAAAGGGACTTGACCAGAAGATGGGGTCCCAGAGAGTAGTTTAAGGACTAGGGTAAGCACATGAAGTTCTGTTGTTGGCCCAATAGAGGGACCTCATGGGAATTTTTGGGAGCCAAAGTGCCAGCTTTTAGATTTACCAGGTGTGGGTGGCAGTGGGCACGTTACTCAGCATCTCACTATCTCAGTTTTCCTCATCTGTGAAGTGGGAATAATAGCATTTACCTCATCGAGTTCCTGTGAGGACCTGATGTAATGCATGTAAATTGCTTAGAACAGTGCCTGACACTCAATATATGTTCACTAAGTTTTTCAAATTTTTTATTTATTTTTTAAATTAACTTTTTGAGTCAGAGTCTGTCACCCAGGCTGGAGTGAGGTGGCACAATCACAACTCACCACAACCTCAAACTCCTTGGCTCAGGCAGTCCTCCCAACTCAGTCTCCTGAGTAACTGGGACTACAGGGGCATGCCCAGCTAATTTTTTTTACCTTTTTTGTAGAGATGAGGCTATACTATATTGCCCAGGCTGGTTTTGAACTCCTGGGCTCAAGTGATCCTCCTACCTCAGCCTCCCAAAGTGCTGGGATTATAAGTGTGAGCCACCATGCCCAGCCCATGTTCACTGTTATTAAGATGAGGAGACCTAACCGGGTGCAGCGGCTTATGCCTGTAATCCCAACCCTTTGGGAGGTGGAGGCGAGAGGATTGCTTGAGCCCATGGGTTCGAGACCAGCCTGGGTAACTTGGCAAGACCTCGTCTCTACAATAAATTAAAACAATTAGCCAGGCATGGTGGCACATGCCTATAGTTCTATCTCCTTGAAAGGCTGTGGTGGAAGGATTGCCTGAGCCCAGCAGGTCAAGGCTGTAGTGGCTGTGAGCATGCCACTGCACTCCAGCATGGGCAACGGAGCGAGACTCTGACTCAAAAAAAAAGAAAAGATAGGGAGACCTGCTGTAGGTCAGGCCAGTAGGATATATACCTGGGCTCCTGGGGAAAGTAGGGACACACTTCCCCAGATTGTTGACAGCCCCTTTTGTGAACCCTCCTGGGTTTGAACTTTGCCAGATTCTCCATTGTTGGTGTCTCATTCATTCACTCATCTGTGTACTCAGCAATGATGCAGGGTGCTCTGCTCTGTGCAGGGACCCTGAACTAACCTCGCCTCTCTCCTTCTGCACTGATGCTCTCCAGGGCACATTCGCCTCCCAGGTGACAGTGGAGGGGGGCAAGTTGAAAGTGGAACGGGAGATTGATGGGGGCTTGGAGACCCTGCACCTGAAGCTGCCTGCTGTGGTGACTGCTGACCTGAGGCTCAACGAACCCCGCTATGCCACGCTGCCCAACATCATGGTGAGCCCCAGCAGGCGGTCACTGAGGTCTGGGGAAGGCCAAGTACACCCCTGGTGGTCGGATGGGGGGAGGGAAGGTTTGAAGGGATATCTCATGTGGAGGGATCACCTGGTTACTCTGGCTGATAGAAGGATCACTGGGTCTTCTCTATGAGAGTTCATGAGGGCTGCTTTGGCCAACAGGGAGGGTTTGCTGGTTGTCTTCACCAGTAGAAAGGCTTCACTGGGCAACAGAAAGGGTTCCCCTTGTCATTCCAGCCAATGGAAACAGCTTATTGGGTAATCTTGGCCAAATAAAGAGGATTCACTTGGTCACCTTTGTTCATTAGGGAGGTTCTCTTTGTAAGATTTGCCAACATGAAGTGATGGTGTTGACCATCTTTGCTAACTAGGAAGGGCTCAACTGTTGGCCTAGGGGAAGAGCTCGCTAATCATTATGGCCAGTAGGATGGGGTCTTGGCTAATATGAACAGTTCAGTGGGTCATCTCAACCAATAGAGAGCATTCAGTGCATGATCTCAGCCAACAGCAAGGGTCCATTGGGTCATCTCAGCCAATGAGGAGGGTTTGGTGAGTCATTTCAGCCAATGGAGAGGGTTCATTGTGTCATCTCAGACAACAGGGAGAGTTCAGTGGGTCATCTCAGCCATTAGGGAGGGCTTATTGGGTTTTCTCAGCCATTAGGGAGGGTTCAGTGAGTCATCTCAGCCAATAGGAGGAGAGTTCAGTGAGTTATCTCATCCAATAGGGAGGAGTCAGTGGGTCATCTCAGCCAATAGTAGAAGTTTGGTGGTTCAACTCTGCCAATAGGGAGGGTTCAACAAGTCATCTCAGTCAATAGGGAAAGTTCAATGAGTTGTCTCAGCCAATAAGGGTTCAGTGAGTCATGTCAGCTAATGGAGGGGGGTTAGTGGGTCATCTCAGCCAAAAGTGAGGGTTCAGTGGGTCATCTCAGCCAATAGAAAGAGAATTCAATGAGTCATTTCAACCAATAGGGAAGATTCAGTGAGTTGTCCTAGCCAATAATGGGAGTTCAGTGAGTTATCTCAACTAATAGAAGCGTTCAATGAGTCATCCTAGTCATTAGGAGAGTTCAGTAAATCATCTCAAAGGCCAGGCACAGTGGCTCACACCTGTAATCCCAGCACTTTGGGAGGCTGAAGGGAGGTGATCTCATGAGCCCAGGAGTTCAAGACCATCCACATAGCAAGACCTCATCTCTACAAAAAAAATTTAAAAATTAACTGGGCATGGTGGTGCATGCCTGTAGTCCCAGCTACTCAGGAGGCTGAAGTGGAAGGACCGTCTGAGCTTAGAAATTCAAGGCTGCCATGAGCTGTGATTGTGTATACTGCATTCCAGCCTGGGTAACACAGTAAGATTCTCAGCTCAAAAAAAGAAGTTATCTCAACCAATAAGGAGGAGTCAGTGGGTCATCTCAGCCAATAGGAGGAGAGTTCAGTGAGTCCTCAATGAATCACTTCAACCAATAGGAAGATTCATTCATTAGGTTGTCTCAGGCAATAGTGGGGGTTCAGTGAGTTATCTCAGCCAATAGGAGGAGGGTTCAGTGAGTCATCTCAGCTAGCAGGGAAGGCTCAGTGAGTCATCAAAACCAAAAGTCCATTCAGCCGTCACTGCCAGAAGGATGGGCTTGCCAGTCCACTGCAGCCAGTAAAGGGCTTCCCAAGGTGGCTAAGTAAGGAAGGACTGCTGCAAAGGTCAGATCTCTCAGGGCCTCCCAGCCAACAGGAGTTGGCCACACCAGGTGTGGCCCTGTGAGAGGTCACATGTGTCCTGGCTAGTGGTGGGTCCAGACAGGTAAGCCCATGGGGCTGGCTCTGCAAACACAGCACTCACAGCAAAGAGGCCGCAAGAGGGGGATTGGTGTCTTGTGAACTGTGGCTTCCCGTGTGCAGAAAGCCAAGAAGAAGAAGATGGAGGTGATCAAGGCTGGGGACCTGGGAGTGGACTTGACCTCCAAGATCTCCGTGGTCAGCGTGGAGGACCCGCCCCAGCGCACGGCCGGCGTCAAGGTAGAGACCACCGAGGACCTGGTGGCCAAATTGAGGGAGATCGGGCGGATTTGAGCTCCTCCCTGAAACTGACAATAAAACGTGATTTTCCCAGCGTCTGTTTCTGTTCACTCATTCCCTAGAAACCCATTCTTTGATTCATTCAACAAACATGTACTTAAGTCTTTTGTATGCCAGGCCCTGTGCTGGGTGATGCTGGGAACCCAGGTGAGTCATATCTAGTCCCTGCCCTCAGGAGCCGCCATACTGAAAGGAGACGGATACAGGGTGATGTGCACAGGAGGTGGGTTCACACCGGGCCCTCAGGAGCCCAGCTGGGGCACCTGTCCTAGCCTGTGGGGTCAGAGACTTCCCAGGTGATGGCAGCCAAGTGGAGAGTTGAAAGATAAACGTCAGCGAGGTGGGAGAGGAGGGCTTTTGCGAGGTCCCCCCCACCCCTCCCCCAGTGCCGGGTCCCCACTGAGACCTGAGGCACAGGGGGAACAAGGCCAGGAGCCCTGGTTCTGGTCATAGAGAGGGACAAGCAACAAAGAGTTAAAACCTGGTGTGGGGAAGAGTCCGGGCCAAGGTCCGATCTGTTATTGATTTATTTATTTCTGCATGCCCCAGGACTTCTGGTAGAGTCAGATTTATTGACTTTACCAGCTGTGAGGTCTCAGGTGAGTTACTTCCCATTTGTGAGCTTCAGTTTCCTAATCTGGCAGGTCAAAATAGCAATGGCATACGTGGTCTAGTGGTTTAGAACAGGGGTTCTGGATGCTGAGGTCCTGGGCTCAAGTCCTAGCTTGACCACTTCCTAGCTCTGGGAGCATTTTAGGCAGATTACTACTCCCTGAGTCTAGGCATTCTCCTCTGGAATGACAAGTGGAATTAATACCTGGATTCTGGTTGTTCCAGCATATCAGACCACCGTCAAAACAGGAATCATTTATTTGGCTCCTGAGTCAAATTTGGGCAGGGCTCAGCTGGGACAGCTTCTCTGTCTTCTGTGCAGCATCAGCTGGGGCTGGAATGGTTCAGATGTGGCCAAAGTGTTGGCTTCCAAGAGGGTCACCCACATGGCCAGCAAGCTGGCTGGGGCTTTCGACCTGGGGCCGTGGTTCCTCCATGGGGCTGCTTGGATTTCCTCACAGTGTGGCGGTTGGGTTCTGAGGGTTTTCTACAACACAGGAAGTGGGGTGTGTCAGCCTAAATGCAGAAACAGCACAAGGTGACTTCCAGTGTTCTCTCATGGCAGTCACAGGGTCCACTCAGATCCAAGGAGAGGGGACATAGACAGCACTTTTTTTTTTGAGTAAGAGTCTCACTCTGTCACACAGGCTGGAGTGCAATGGCATACTCATGGCTACCCCAGCCTCAATCTGCTGGGCTCGGGCTATCCTTCTGCCTCAGCCTTCCAAGTAGTTGGAACTACAGGCACGTGCCACCATGCCTGGCTAATTTTTTGATTTATTGTAGAGACGAGGCCTCGTCAAGTTGCCCAGGGGGGTCTTAGACCCCTGGGCTCAGGCAGTCCTCTCAGCTCAGCCTCCCAAAGGGCTGAGATTACAGACCTGAGTCACTGTGCCCAGCAGACTGCACTTCTTAACAGGAGGAGGGTCGAATTTGCAGCTATTTAAGCTACAAGGCCTTCCTCATGATGGTTTGTTTTTGTTTTTATTTTGGTTTGTTTTTGAGTGGGAGTCTCATTCTGCTGTTCAGGCTGGAGTGCAGTGGCCTGCGCACAGCCACCACAGCTTCAACCTCCTGGGCTGAGGTGATCCTTCTGCCTCAGCCTTCCAAGTAGCTGGGATTACAGGTGCATGCCACCACACTTGGCTAATTTTATTTTTTGCAGAGATGAGTTCTCCCTATGTTGCCAAGGCTGGTCTCAAACTCCTGTTCTCAAGCAATCCTCCCGCATCAATCTCCCAAAGTGCTGGCACTACAGGCATGTACCACCACACCCGGCTAAGTTTTTTTACTTTTTGTGGTCTCGTTATGTTGCTCAGGCAGATCTTGAACACCTGGGCCGAACCAATATCCCTTCTCTGCAGGGATTACAGTGCTGGAATTACAGGCATAAGCCACTGTGCCTGGCCCCCCATGGCATTTTGAAAGGTTAATTTGTGGAGCAACCCCAGAACCACACCTGACATACAGAAAACTCTCAATACATGTTATTACCATGATTATTACCAGCATGGTGAGAACTGTGCTGGGGTCAGCTCAGGGGTCTGGGAGCTGAGCAGAGACCCTAAGCCCGACATGGAGTGGTGGAAAGAGCTATTGGAAGGAGTGAGCAGTCTCATCATCCAGGGCCCAAGTCTCGCTTCTCCCCCTGGCTGTGCAACCTCCTGCAGGTCTATTGACCTCTCTGAGCCTTGGTCACCTGTTCTGTAAAGTGAGGATAACGACATTCTGCTCACAGGGCGTTTAGAAGGGTTCAGCCAAATAATGCATGGAAGCATTTCGCGTGATTCCTAGCTCTGCCCGAGTAGTAATTAGGATGGTTCTTAAGGTGAGGCCTGCAGGAGGAGTTGTGGGTGAGCCAGGTTGGAGGAGGTGGGGAGAGAGCCACAGCATTCCAGGTAGGGGACCGGGAGGTGAGAGATGGGGCAGGGAGGATGTCAAGCGATGGAGTGGGGCTGGCATGGGTGTGGGTGGGTTCGTTCTGAGCTTGGACCCAGAGGGGGCTGGGAAGC